CACCAAACCCCATTGCCCCAGTCACTGTATCAATCCATCTCATCCAGGGTTTTCCTCTCCTGTGCTGTCCCTACACCCTCCCATGCATTATATTCTTCTCCAAGGACCAGCTCCTCCTGGCCACATGCCCAAAATATGTGAGATGGAACTCCAAAATACTAGTCTCCGACAAGAAACTTGATTTCAATCTTTCCAGGACATAATTATTTTCTTGGTGGTCCAAAGTATGTTCGATACTCTTTTCCAATACCACAACTCAAAAGCATAGATTCTTCTTCTGTCATCCTTAGTCATTGTCCAGCTCTCTGATGCATAGCTAGTACTTGTGAAGGTCATGGCCTGGATCAGGTGCACATTAGTCTTTAGACTGACATCATTGCTTTTTATAATCTAGAGAAGCCCCCAACAGCAAATTTACCTAATAAAATTCATCTTTTTATTTTCCAACTACTGGTGCCAAAAGTTTTGACTATGAAGCCAAGGAAGCTGTAATTGTTACTAAACTCAATCTCTTCTCCATCTTTCATGGTGCTGCCAAGATTCTTTGTTTTCCTGATGTTGAGCTTCAACCCACATTGAAACCACATTTCTTGACCTTCTGCAGCAAATGCTTCAGATCTTTCTCAGTTTGAACAAACAAAGCTGTGTCATCTGCATAATAGAAATTGTCCTCCAATTCTAATGCCACATTCCTCCACATAAAACGCAGCCTCCCAAATGATCTGTTCTACATATAGATTGAAAAGGTATGGAGATAGGATGCATCCCTGACACTCTCCTTTCCTGATTTTGAACCATGCAGTGTTTCCTCTTGCTCTGTTTTGATGACTGCTTCTTGGTCCAAGTATAGGTTAAGCATAAGTATAATCAAGTGTTCTGGGATTCCCATTCTCCTCAAGGTTAGCCACAGTTTGTTGTGATCCACACAGTCAAATGTACATAATGATAAAAATATGATTCAGCATAGTTTAAATGACTATGCATAGTCAATGAAACATAGGCATTCCTCTGTTACTCTTTGCTTTCTGCCAAGGTCCATCTGACTTGGGGGCAATGTCTCTAGTGTTATGACCTCTTCTAAACCTAGTTTGTATTTCTAGCAGTTCTCTGTCAATGTACTGTTCCAGCCATAATAGTCCAGACAAAATTTAAATATTTTGCCCTTTCTTTGGAAATAATAATTCTGGTGGTATAGTCCCTAGGGAGATGTACTGCTACCCCAAAGGCAGTGCCTCTGTGATGGTTTGACTTTACCAGCTGCTCTGTGGAAGAAAGATAGGCAATCTTTTTTCATGCGGTTTACAGCCTGTAAAAAAACCCAATGAAGGGTGAGTTATGAGTAAGTTCTGACAAGATGGCAATTAGAGTAGAACGAGATCTTTGTACGTAATTATACCTTACATTTTTATGGTCAGTTATTTTCTAGAGCACATAATATATACAACAATACCTATAATATATGCAATGAATACAGTGAAACCAAGAAAATACAAGGGATATAAAACCTGAATATGATAATTGTGATGACCAAGATACCTACTGTTGGATGTCATTAGACAGTTTTTGGTTAAGTGTTCATTTTTTTAACCTGCTACACAAATTCTTCTGTGGTGAACAATTAATTGCATCTTTTCTCATCCTTCACATTTTTTTTCTGCAAAGGGGAAAATGGCAATCTCTGGAAACTTTTTTCTTCATTGTCAAGAGAAGGTAAGTAGGTGGAGGTAGGGTGTTATTACCATCTACTTGGTAGAAGCCAAACACACTCCTAAACATACTATAATGTAGAGGATAGCCCTACAACAAAGAATTAACCATTCAGAAAAGGTCAATAATTGTGAGGCTGAGAAGTCCTATCCTTATAGTGCAGAGTATATTTTAACTGCTTCAACAAATGAAGATGAAATGAAACCTTACACTCCACTTTTATTTTAACATGATATTAATCCCTACTGTAACTTTTCTATGGGGATACATAACAACTCTTTTATTTTTCCTAAAATTCTCTGTGATATATTTCCATTAATTAGCTTTAAAAAGCAAAGAAAGATTCTGACATCCCATCATTAAATATCCAGTTATGAGAATGTAATTAACTCTTAACAGAATTATACAATCTCAAAGCACTTTGAAACTCTTCTCCTAATATTTATCAAGATATGCATATTTAAGCTGATTTACATGTCTTTCCTACTAAATTATAACTTCCAGAAAAGAAAAGGCATATCTGCATTTTCTCATCTTTATGTTTCTTAGAACAAGAAACATTACATGTAACAAGAACTATGCATTTGGTCCATGCATGAATAACAGTAAAACTATAACTTTGGTGATAAAAAAATGTAAAAAAATAATTTAAAAAGTATATTATTTAACAAAATATATCTTAATCTCAGATGTTGTTGTTGTTGTTAAGTGCTGTCGAGTCGCAGGCGACTCATAGCGACCCTATGAAGGAGAGTCCTTGACGCTTGGGTGCCTTTCATCCTCTCTCCAAGTTCACAGGGTTTCTGGAGGCAAGCTATTATGGAAGTGAATGCCACTCCTCCTTCCACGCTTGTTTAATCGGAGAGCTCCACCCCACATTATGTAGCCAACCATTAACGCATTTGACACATCCGTGTCACAGTGTTCAGCCTCACAGCAACCACAAGTGACCACGGGACGGCAACTTGTACACCAGGGCTATACGACCTAGAGGAACGTCTGAACAAAAACAATGGCCTGAGGGCCGCAGGTCCAAGGGCCCTTTTGGGCTTGAAGCTGCTGCTGCCTTCAACCCAAGGCCAAGCGTGGCTTCCCTGGCCCCTAGAGGCAGAGTCGCCTTTCTCCAGAGACCGCCAGATCATAACACCTAATCTCAGATATTAACATTTTTATTATATTAAGCAGATAAACTTAAAATTTTTTTTAAGTTGTCGTTGTTACGTGCTGCCATTCTCACTAATTCCAACACACCAAGCCCCATCACCCCAGTCATTGTATCAATCCATCTCATTCGGGATCTTCCTCTTCTGTGCTATCCTTCCACCCCTCCAAGCATAATGTCCTCCTCCAAGAATCAGCCTCTCCTTGCCACATACCCAAAGTATGTGAGACAGCTTCAAAATCCTGGCCTCCAAGGAGAAACCTGGTTTCACCCTCTCCAAGACAGACCAATTTGTTTTCTTGACAGTCCATGCTATGTGCAATACTCTACTCCTGCACCATAATTTGAAGGCATCAATTCTTCTCTGAGGCATAGCAAGTAACTGCAAAGATCATGGCCTGGATTAGGCACACCTTAATCTCTAGAGAGGTCCCTGACAGCAGATTTTTCCCAATACAATTAGTCTTTTGATTTCTTGATTGCTGGTATTAAGAGTGTTGATTGTAGAGCACAGTTAAGCTGGAATTAACAACTTCTATCTCTTCTCCATCTATTATGGTGCTGCAAATTGGCCTAGTGATGAGAATCTTTGGTTTCTTGATATTAAGCTTCAATCTGTACTGAAGACTATCGTCCTTGACCTTCTGCAGCAAATAGTTCAGGTATTTTTAAATTTCAGCAAGCAAGGTAGAGTCACTTGCATAACATAGTTGTTAATGAGTCTTCCTCCAATCCTGATGCCACATTCCTCCTCATAAAGCCCTGCTTCCCGAACAATCTGTTTTGCATATAGGCTAAAAGGGTAATGAGACAGAAAGCATCCGTGACACCCTCCTTTTCTGTTTTTGAACCATGCAGTGTTTCCCTGATCTGTTCTGAGGACTGCTTCTTGGTTCAAGTATAGGTTTTGCATAAGCACAATCAAGTGTTCTGGGATTCCCATTTTCCTCAAGGCTAGTCACAATTGGTTGTGATCCATACAGTCAAATGTACATAATATTAAAAATATGATTCAGCATAGTTAAAAATGTCAGAAAATATCAATAGCAGGTATTCACATTCCTTGCTGTTATGTGCCATCAAGCTGGAACTGACTCACTGCTGACCCTCCAGCAGATTTTCAGGTAATCACATGGAAGGAAGCTGCCCATTTTTCTCCCTCAGAGTAGCAGGCAGAGTCAAACCACGTGCCTTTGAGCTGGCAGTGCAATTCTAAGATTTAGCATTAAAGGAAGCTGGCGAGTTAGGTTCAACTGGTCGTGACCACCTGGGTCCTGTTGATGAGTGCAAGTGGGAGATACACAGTAAAGAAGCAGGCTGAGTTTGGATATGTTCTTTCAGGACTGTCCACCTAGCATGATTAATAGATAAGTGAAAGGGGGTTGCTGGTTTGTGGAGCAGAATCCTGAGGATCACTGATGTGCTGTTTTAATCCATGTGGGGCTAAGTGAAAGGACCAGCTGGTCTGAAACAAGGAAGAAGTGTGAACTCCTGCGTCTGCTGCTGATGCCCATTTGGAGCTAGGCATAGGCAGCTGGGCATGTGCTGACTAGAACCCAACCAGATGAAGAAAAGATTTTTTTTTTCTGAGCTAATGTTGATTACTGTTACCTGATAGTTTGCTCTAGACTGGACCTTTGTTTACATATGCAGATTTTCAATGTTTCAACTGTAATAAAAGATATGCTTCTTTCAGAGAAAAAGACATGCTTGTTTCCTCAGAGTATTGCTTCTATTGTTGTTGTTGCTGTGTGACATCGAGTTGGAACTGACCCATAGCGCAGTTAACTGCATGGGAGAAGATTACCTATCCTTCTCACATGGAACAACTGGTGTATTCAAACCATGTGTTTTCAGGACTGCAGTGCAGTTTCTTACCACTAGGCCACTTAAGGGCTGCGAAAATGGACTACCTAAAATGGGAGGATTAAGACAAGTAAAGCAGCTCGTTTATATACTTCCAAGAATATGGATTATGGTAAAGGGAAGGTTGATCCTTCAGAAAATGACTGGTAACAGCTAGAAAAGCCAGGGGTTGGTCTTTATTGTCAGTAAATAAAAAAAATTAAAAAAGACTTTTCTATCCGTTGTGTTAGCTTCTGCTGGGGAAATGGTCTCCAGCTACCTTAACTACAGACACATGGTCCTGCAAATCATCAATAACTGTGGGTCCCGTTAAGAGAGCACTTTCCACCGAGGGTGTGCTTGAAGAAACCAACAAAGGAGAGGCATCATGACTGGTTGACTTAGCCCAAGCTTGCTGGAGGATGAAAAGTTGTCGGGACTGAGAAATTGTATACCGTGGACTAAGAATCCAGCTGCATCCAGCCCTATCTGTTGCTCACCAGTTTCTGCAAAACCATCCTGCATAGCTACAAGTCTGAGTCTCTAGGGGACTTTCCATAGAACATAGAATATTTGGAGACATGAGCCAAGGATGATATGTTTATATTAGAAATAATAGACTTATACAACAGGTTAAGCATTTGGGAGTATGCTAACTCAAGAATTCTTATAACTGGTCTGCTACTAATCTTAGAACAAATTAGAAAAACAACTGAGTCACCATCACTCTCTTTCATATACATTTTTAAATTATATTTATCACCTTTTTATTGTTTAACATTTTCTTCCTCTTTTCTCTCCTCCAGCCTACCCTGCAATGCACCCCTTGTTCCAGATTGTTATCATACATATAACACCTAAGCATATAAATACATCTTTAAGCTCTCATCCATTCTAATGCAGTGTTCACTGTCTATTCAGTCTTTTCTCATTCTTTCCCCCAACACCCATATGCCTGTCCTTTTAGTGTTATGCAATGTTTGTCCTTTTGGTGACTAAGATATTTCACTCAACATAATGTCCTCTAGGTTCTCCCATATTGTGTAATGTTTTATAGGTTCATTGTTGTTCAGTGTTGCATAATATTCCATTGTGTGAATGTTTGGGTTTTTCCCCCCCATTCATTCTTTTATTGATGGGCAATTGGATTGCTTCCATCTCTTTGCTATTGTGAATAACACAGAAATAAACATGGATGTGCATACATGTTTGAGTCATGGCTCTGGTTTCGTCTTGATCTTTGCAATCACTTGCTATGTGTCAGAGAGCTGGACAATGAATAGGGATGACAGAAGGATAACTGATGCCTTTGAGCTGTGATGCTGGAGAAGAGTATTGAATATACTATGGATTGCTAAGAAAACAAGTTTTCCCTAGAGAGGGGCTACACCAGGCTGCTCCTTGAAGGCAAGGATTCTGAAGCTGCGTCTGACATATTCTGATCACACTGCAAGGAGGGATCAGTCCTTGGAGAGGGAAAACATGCTTGGGAGGTTGTCAGGACAGCACAGAAGAGGAAGACCCTTTATGAGGTGGGTAGATTCAGTGACTGGGATAACGGGAGTAGATGTGTTGGAGACAGTGAGGTTGGCACAGGATAGAGCAGGGTTTAGGGTTGTACACAGGGTCGCTATGAGTCATAGGTGACTCAACAGCACATAAAAACAACAATAACAATATTTCCAGTAGTGGAATTGTTGGGTCAAATGGTATTTCTATTTCCAACATTTTGAGAAAGCTCCAGATCACTTTCCATAGTGGCTGTACCATTTTATATTTCCATCTGCAGTGAATAAGAATTCTAAACTCTGCACAACCTCACCAGTATATGGGGCTTGCTGCCTTTTTGACGTTTGCTACTATTTCTGGGGTGAGATGATATCTCAGAGTTGTTTTTATTTGCATCTCTCTGATAGCTAGGGATTTTGAAAATTTCTTCTATATATTATCAGTGAAATAATATTCTAGTTCACATCAAGAGGGAGGCTTTTTGGTTTTCCTTAATTTTATATTCAATACTATATTCATTTACTTTACTTGGCTGCACAAACAACACTCTTGGTAGCAGCCATCAAGAAATCAAAAACCTTACTGAATTGGGAAAACTGTGTAGGGCCTCAGTCTCCAAAGTGCTCAAGAGCAAGAATGTCAATCTGAAGCCCAAGATGTGCCTGATCTAAACCATGATGTTTTCAATTACTCTCCTACACATCCAAAATTTGGACAATGAGTAAGGAATACTAAGGAGATCCTGAGGATGGTGTAGGATAGGGCAAGGTTCACATCTATTGTCCATAGGTTTGCTGGAAGTTGTAGCCTGCTTGATGGCACCTAACAACAATTAGATTTATAACTCACAAATGCAAAAGAGTATCACCATGTATTCACAAGCGCATCACCAAATATTCAAAACAGTACCATCAAGTATTCACAAGTGCACCATCAAGTACAAAAAAGCAGATAATTCTGTAAAATTAAGCATGTATTACTCAATTCCATTTTGTCTCTCTATTCTAGTAGAGACTCAACAATCACCACCTACATTTAAAGAAGTTAAAGTTTACTTTAAGAATATAAACTGATCTCAGTTTATTTTTGTTGCTACGTAACTTTGTCCTAATTTCATTAAAATCATCCATACTTATCGTAAGATAAATTTTTAGTATATGTAAAAGATCTTGAAAGTGTATCTTTGCCTCAGTAGCTCAAAATTTATTAACAAAAATAGACAAAAAATTATTAAACAAAATAGACACAGAGCCAAGAATCTGATTATAGTTTTGACACTGAAATGGTATTTTTTTTTAAATAAATGACCCCTTAAAGACAATGGGCATGTTCAGAAAATATAATCCAGAACTTGACCTCAAAAATCTGGACAATGAAGGCAAGAAAATAGTTCTTGGTTCTGCATGGCAACAGGTCAATAATAAAGAGAAATTAATAGTGCATTTATTTAATTATGTTCCTTTCTTCTGTCCAATCTACTCAACGTCAAATCGAGAGGGAAGAACAGTCACACAGCTTCAGTAATATAAAACATGGTACCACTGGAGTCTACTATTCAAATTTTCCTCAGTTTCGCAGATGTGATTGTAAATAATAACCTCTCCCTCTAAAAATGCACTGCATACTGAGAAAATACAGAAACTTTTCTATATATTCCAAAGAGACCTTTCTTGAATTTCCTTGAAACGTACTAGATCTTTAATTATCCACTAAAGAAGTGAGGTTTTTTCTTTTTAATGTTACTTCATTGTAATTATTAGTGGACAGGAATGGGGTGAGAGGAGATAACTCTTATCTAAATGCCACTATTATGGACAAAATTGGTCCATGAATTTTACCAAAGCAGTGAAATTGCTTCAGTGCTTCCTGAATGAATGCCTGCAATAGAAACTGTCATGAACCTCTAAGTTACTAACAAAATAAAGTTTTAAAAAGTAGGTCATGACTTCACATAATACCAAAACTTTGGCATTCAATGGGAAAATCAGCTTAACTTTAAAAATAAACCTTGAAGTTTGAAAACAAACTTCGAGATGGATAACTGTGGTGTTAATCATAATTTCCACAGGCACATGCGATTTACTCTGATGTCCCACAGCTTCACTGAATAAAGGATTATTGGAAAGAAGAGAAATTAATCTCAGATGAATACAGGAGGACCTTCAGTCAGATTTCCTGAAACAAACAATTTTCACTTCTACTTAAAATGAGCAAACAAACAATTTTTACATTTTTCATGAAAATTTTCATGCACAGTAAACTGAGCACGCAGTGTGCTCCAGGAGGCACAGGGAAACACAGAAGAGGTACCTAAAATTTGCCACACGTGGGCTGTTGCTAGCAATGACAGCCCATCACAGGAGAAACTGCAGGGAGAACAAAACCATCATACATTTGCTCTTTACAATTATGACAAAGAGGTATGATAATTTTCAGTTTAGGAATAAAGAAATGAAGACAGCCTAAAAATAGTGAAGACATGTCCAAAAAGTAACTAAAGTAAGATGGAGTTAAGGTAACAATGTGCCATTGGGTGGGCTTTTTTTTTTTTACTTTATTATTTTTATGTGAGTGTACCGTCAAATCAGATCTGACTGTCTGACTGGTACAGGAGGAGATTGTCCCTCCTTCCCCGGCAGAGCATCTGGTGGATTTGAACCGTGCGCCTCTGGGATTGTAGTTGCAGCTCCTTGCCACTAGACCACCAGGGCTCCCCTAGGGTGGGCTCTTTTTAATCAATCTTCAAAGGAAAAGATCAAGAACATTAAAGTGAGAAAAAGGACACAAGGGAAACAAGAATGGTTTGAGTGTAGGAAATAGTAACTGGATGTAGGTAGATAACTAATTTTGGGGACATAAGAGGAAGTATTAACAAAAAAATATGAGCTGGAAGTTCTTTGATAGAGGATCTTAATGCTGTGTTATTAATCAGTATAGGTTTCGTAGGCTTTGTTTGACAAAAAGAGAGTTCATGGTAGATTATTCTGATTGTTGTTGTTAAGTGCTGTTGAGTCACTTGTGATTTAAAGCAACCTTATGCTAAACAGTTCTGAACTCTGTGGTATCCTGTGCTGATCTTATTGTCTCTGACATACCTACCCCCATTACCACAGTCACTGAATCAATCCATCTCATCGAGGGTCGTCTTCTCTTGTGCCATCCCTCCACCCTCCCAAGCAAGATGTCCCTCTCCAAGGACTGGTTTCTCCTTGCAACATATCCCAAAGTTGTCAGATGAAGCTTCAGAATCCTCGCATCCAAGGAACAGCCTGATTTCACCCTCTCCAGGATAAACCTGTTTGTTCTCCTAGAAGTACACGGTATATTCAATACTCTTCTCCAGCACCACAGCTCAAAGGAATCAAGTCTCCTTATATCATCTGTAGTCATCGTCCAGTTTTCTGACACATAGCAGGAAATTGTGAAGACTAGGACCTGGGTCGATAGCTTGCAATAACTATAAAAGAGAGACTGGAAGGTAGGACTCCTTCCCCAAAGATGTTGTTGCAGTCCAAACATAAAATGACAAAAGGTTTGACCAAAATGGGCAAGAGCAGACAGAAAACTTTGCTTAGAAGACAATCAGAATATATTGGCTCTTTTGTAATCAGGCAGATGGTTCTTAGAAGTTGGTAATAGCCAAAATTTTAGTAAATCCTCCTTTTTCAAGTATAAGATACAATCTGAATTGAAAAGTTAGACATTTGCTTAGATGGTGGGGGCAGAAATGTCAATGCTTAAATGTCATGAAACAAAATGTAATTATTTAAGAAAATATTCAAATAAACTTTA